CAACCCGCACACACAGAGTGAGTGCATTACCCGCTTGCACTCGGCCATCGAATCTAGTGCAGCGCCGCACTCTATTGCGTTGGGAGTGCACGTCTCTAGATCTAAGGCCCGACCCGAGGATAGTGTCAGCCCAGGTCGGGTCAAGTCCTTGCTCGGCAGGAGAGAATCTAAGCTCTAGTTCACGCTAAGGAACCGGGAGTTTGTCATCCAGTCTCTTTGGTATAGAGAGAACAGAGAGAGACGACGAGGAAAATAAACAAGCATGCAAATGTAAATTATCGTGTCCAGAAAATTTGAGTTTGCCATGCCTCTATCATATTTGCTGAGTGACAAAAAATACCTTTTATTAACAGTGATAGACAGTTGACAAATATCTATACCAACATAAACATAAAATTTGCAACGTTACAGCACTCAGCATTACCTGATGTTGACAATGGAGTTCTCCTGTAGCCTTATTAGGTCAAAGATAAATATTTCCACTACATTACTGCCCTGGCCTACCTGTAAACCATTCCTTTGCTACTAGTCCACTCGCTCCACTATAAGGTATAGGCTTTCCTGATGCAAAATTAATAGTACAGACACAGTAAAGGCAGAGACAGGTAAAGGTCACATTTTTTAGGATCTTAGGATGCCAATAATCAAGACAAGCAAACAGGGGAAAGTTATTACATACGTGTGTATCAATATGTGAAGACCCTAGAGATGTCCCCTACTCGTCTCAATCCAGATGGATGTGGTGCTGGTCCACTGGGAAGACCATACTGTAGTTCCAGCCGTCGTGTGTGCTGACGCGGCAAGTACACTGCAGCCGTAATGCCGGACAGAAGGGGAGTCACACCAACATATGGAAAGAAGTGTAAATGGATGGAGAAGCATAGTTTACTATAAAGCTACGTCTTAGTTTGTGCTAATCTTGGCGAAAGCCGAGTACAAATCTGCATGAAGTTTTAACATCTACTCTCGTGTAATGGAAATCATGTGCAAAATAACTTTTAACTAGATTAGTTAAAGATAGTGTTTCAGTTGTCTTTGAGGTCAATTAAAAACATACTTACTGTACAAAGGCAAAAGACGCTGTGCAAAATGGGCCTGGGCTCTGAAAAGAGCCTTTGGGTGTATGTAGCTCCTGTTGAGAGAAAAAGAAGAAACATGAAAAGGAGTCAAATATATTGCAAATACCTTTGTGAATTAATGTGCACTCAATTTATCTTTATTGACTAAAACAGTATGTAAGAAAATGGCAATTCAGAACTGTAGGATGACTTCTAGATCAATCACTCACTGAAAAAAACAGAAAAGACCATTCTATTTTGTTTAACAAAGGTTAAGGCTCTATTTTTATGAATAGCTGTGTGTCTTCACTTACTATCACTTTACTATAACCACTTCTTTGTATGACTGTCTAGTGGCATTGCGCGCTTGTACTAAACTAGGTCTTTGATTGACAGGTCTACTTTTCACGGTAAACGCACAACAAAAGAGCTGCTTTAATTTTAAGCATATGTCACTTAAACAAAATAATTAAAAATCCCTTGAGTGTAAGGGGTTAATATTATAAATGGACAGATGTAGGATTGTTTGGAAAAAAAGTCAGTCCATAGTTTTATGACCGTTTATTAGTTTAGCCTGGTTGTTTTAGGTTATCCTCAGACTGACGAAAAACGAGTTCCCCTCATGTCTAAAAATACATAGGCTACTGTCAAAAATAACTAATTGAAAATATTTAATGCGAGAACATAAAACAGTCAGTTAATAATTAAAGTCAACAGTTAGAAAATGACTGTTGATCCTCCGCCGCCAATCTCTGTCATCCGTATCGTAAACATTTCTCAGAAAACTCGACGTTTTCTAACAAAATTATATTTTTCAATGAAAAAATAAGTACATAAAACAAAATAAACACTTACTGGCCTGAAAACGGTGTGTTTGAAAAGGATAAACATACTCACAGAGTCCGTTGCTGTAGACTTAGCTGTAGGCTGTAGTGTAGACGATGCTGAGATCACTCACGCGCATAGCGCACCGTCATAAAAACGTGTGCACGCGCGTGAAGGTCTTGATGTGGACCAACGGTTGCGCAGATATTATTTATTTAAAAAAATAGAAGCGGGATCGGCAAAATGGTTCATCACGGTTCCTCCACCGATCTCCGGAGTTGTGCATGAAAGTGCCTATTCATCCCGCGGCCCGCCGATGGTTTACCCACCAAAGTTTTTTGTTGTGCAGGGGAAAATCCCCTCCCGATACTTTGCCGCTGGTGCCCTCCAATTGCCAACGTCGGCAAGACGTTCAGTGCTATCTTTTAACAGTAAAGTGCAGAGAGGAGCAAAAATTAGTTGATCAAAACAGAAAATGCTGTTGCATGCCGTATTTTGGCTTCAAGTTTTTTTCTGTTTTTTTTTTTTTTTTTTTTTCCTTACGGAGTTAAACTGGTTCTATGTCCCATCAGCATGTAGCCGCAGCGGTCATGTCAGATCGGGGGTTCAGGATTTTTTTCAGTAAGTTTCACATTCCTGTACCGGCTTGCTGCTTTAGTTAACTGTGTGAGGTTGTCTCGTGACATGCTTGCTCAGATTTGAGGTAGAATTTTGAAATTCTCCAACAACGGGGGTCCTGTTTCCAGATCAGGATGATCTCTGCATAGTACGCAAGTCTCTCTCTCGCTCTCGTCGTGCGCGCGATACGAAGTTTGGACTTTGGAACACAGTCGCGCATGCGCGCTCGCTCTAGATTCCGGGAGATTTTAACCAATTTGCGGTATAACTAGTCAATCACAAATGTGGCTCAACGGTTATATTTATAAATAGTTATCTTTCAGGCATTTGACCGACGGGATTGACACTTCAGCGCGAGAAATCGGGGGTGTGTCGTGTGAGCGTGTGTGAGAGTTGGCAGCTCGGCTGCTCTCTCCCGCGCTCTCGTCTCTCACTGATGTCGCGGCGCTCATCATTTTTATTCACGCACGACTCATGTCACGCGAGACGGTCTGACTAAACAAAATCACGGTTAACTAACGCAGTAACGCATGCTGTTTACGGGGAAGTAACGGTAATCTAATTACTGTTTTTACAATTGTAATCCCTTACTTTACTCGTTACAAGAAAATAGTAATTGGATTACAGTAACGCGTTACTTCTAACGCGTTACTGCCCTTCAGTATAACATGAAGGGAGACTGGAATTGCTGGTGACTCATTTTGGCAGTTCAGAATTGATTCGTTCTTTTAGGAGACAATAATTTTGTTTGTCGTGCACTTTGCAGATATTATACATTCAAAAATAGCTATATTACACAGTGCATAGGTAATATGCGAAAAAGCATAATAGGGGCACTTTAAAGAGCAGTGATCAAAAAAGATCGACAAAAGATTTCCGAGCTATGGCACAATGGTTGCACACACGTGATGACATAAAAAGCTGCAGCGTTCCCACAGAGAAGCAGGTTTGAGTCTGAATTTTTATTTTCTGTCAACGTTTATTGTCATCAGAAAACATTCCAAAAATCAGGTACCAAATAAGATGATGTTTATGATACCTATTTCTCTGTCTGTTTTGAGGTGGAATTGTATTAAACCCTTCATTTTATGGTACGTTTGGCCACACTCACACCATGATCCATGAGATTGGGCACAGCCTCGGACTGTACCATGTCTTCAGAGGAATCTCAGAGGTGGAGTCCTGTAACGATGCCTGCTTGGAGACTGAGCCCTCTCTTGAGACTGGAGATCTGTGTGCAGATACCAATCCCACACCCAAGTACAAGTACTGCAGAGATCCTGAGCCAGGAAATGATACCTGTGGCAGACGTCATTTCAAAAACACCCCTTTCAACAATTACATGAGCTATGCTGGTAAGACAAATATATCAATGCAAGTGTTTTTTGCTAGTTTCAGCTTGACACAGTTATCATTTTCACGTCCTGCGCCACGTTGTTTAAATAGCAAATACGCAAACTAGATAAATATTATAATAAAAACCATTACAATGTAAAAGATGAATATTATGTACATAAAGATTTGGTGGAATCCTTGTCCTGTAGATGGTCTGCTTGCACGGTTTAAAGGTCCCCTGACATGGGGTTATTTTATCATTTTATAATGTTTCCTGGGTTGCCCTTATAATGTTAGTATGTTTTTTAGATCAAAAATAGTCTCAATTTAGAAATAAAAGGCATATTCCTGGCCTTTGAACGCTCTGTTTGAAGGGGCATGTCTGCTTTGGGATTCAGTGTAACCGCCACTGCTGTGATTGGCTGACATGCGTGCATATGAAATAGATACATTACATGTGAAACTCTCTCAAATACTTTTACTACAGCTATTATACGTTTTTTACTATTACAGCTATCGAGATTACCGAATCGTGAGAAGTTTTTGAAGTATTTAGATTCCCATCACATAAAATGTTGGTGTGATGAGCATTGACCAAGCAGATGACAGTCTGTTGATCACGAGAATGAAGATCTTATCATGGCAACACAGTTTTTGCACTTTCTCTAATGCTTTCACCAATGCAAACATGACAATGCACATACAGTAAGAGCTTTGTTGTGCAGTGTAACTTGCGTCATTGATTTCAGAACGAGTTGTCCAGATAAACTCACGCTGTGTGGAAAGATTGTTCTTTGATCGCTTTCTGTGTAATTTGTATAATTTAAATGTGATTATATTCATCCTACTAAAAGAAACGATGTAAAGTTGATATTTTAGTCACTGGCTTGACTTACTGATGCATAAACATTATCGAACGATTTTGAGAGAAAGATTAACTTACCTGTCTGAACTTGAACAATTAGGCTGCACATCAGAAATGGTTGCTTGGTAGCTCAATCGATTTATTTTCAGACGTTCATCGAGTTGAGGAAACAGTCGTCTGTGAAATGTTTGGACCATACAAAACTTTGGGAGTTGAGTCGGCGCATTTCCAGAGAAAATAAAATTAACCCATTGTTTCTTCAGAGGCTTGGATGAAGGGACTAAAAAATACTTTTTTTTTTCATATGTAAATCAGAACACTGATAAACTGTCATGCTTCTCTTGTTTGCAAGCCATGATATCTCTTGAGGAAACAGTCAAACCTCAAAGCTATTTCTCTGGGAAAAACTAAAATCGCGCCTGCGTGTTCGTACTTCCTGTTCCTAGCTCTTTTCTCATGGTCCAGCCAAATTCTCAGGGGTGGGCTAGGCAGAGAAAGGGAAGGTAACCTGTCCCCCGTATGACGTCATACGGGGGAGATTCAAGATCATCATGTCTGAGCTGCAGAGAAGAGAAAGATAGTCAAAGCTCGGTTTACACCGATTGTCTAGACATGAGGCGACCAAAGACAGGCTAGGGGAACTAATATTAATGATAAAAAAACTCAGAAAATGAAAATTTTATGTCAGGGGACCTTTAACCTCTCGCACAAGCAGATCCGTTTACTCTCTGGAGAAGCGCTCAGTCTTTCCGCTTGCAAATTCCGCCATGCAAATAGCGAATCCGCCATGGCGCGAGTGCAACTGGCTTTTAAAGGGAATGGGAAATTACACTCTGATTGGCTTTTTGCACATTATGCCCAAAACACACTCATTACTCATTAAAAAAAATAGAGATAACCCTTTAAGACCATGGTCGCCCATTTGTGAAATGGATTTAAAATTTGTGTAATGTCTGTGATTTCTTTGTTTTGTTCCCATAAAGATGATGACTGCACAGATTCCTTCACGCTGAACCAAGTTGCTCGGATGCACTGTTACTTAGATCTGATCTACCAGTCTTGGAGACCTGGCAGTAAACCAGCTCCTGTTCCTCTACCTCCTCGAGTAACAGCGCAGGACCAAGACTCTCTTACCCTGGAATGGTTCCCTGCCCTCACTGGCCATTACTTTGACAGGTGAAAAGAACTATTAAACAAGTATTAAAATGTCAATACATAATTTTCCCCATAATGAAAAAAATATAATTTCTTAAAATGAAACCCAAGAAGTAACTTTTTTTCTAGGAACATATTGAGAAGTTATTATGAATGTATTGAAAAAAAAAATCCTACAAAAAAATCTAGGAAAAGATTTGTTTTTACAACATTTAGTTCAAAAGAAGCTAACTATTACTGATTTATCTACTTCTAATATGTAGATTTATTAATTTGAAAAACATGTTACCCAGTCTAGTGTTTTTAAAAAAAAATAAAAAAATGTTACTATTTAATTATGTTTTGTATTTAATTTTTTTATTAGCCTAATTTTTAATATGAATGTGTATTTCTATAAAATCACAAAAAAAGTTTTAAACTGTATATAAAATGTCCCAACAAAAACATTCTCATATAAATCTCAAAGAAAATAAAAGAAATAAAAATCGATAACATTTAGTTATATTGACCACTTTGAAAATCAGCACTCTATGAAAGTTAAGCACCTCCTTCTGTGTACATTCAAGGGTTAAAAAAAAAAAAAAAAAATCCACGCCCTGTACAATAAAAAGTGCCTAATATTAAACAAATGATAATCACTGTAGAGAGGAGAGACCTGATACAAAATAATGCACACTGAAATGAGATGTTTTGAATGTCTCCAAGACTTGTTTCAGTAGTTCATTTTAAGTTTCATTAGGTTTTATTAGTTCTTTCCAGAAATTAATATATTGTGTAAGTTCCCCAATAAAAATTGTTAGAGAGATGCTAAACATGTCAAGGTCAATCATGCCAATAACGGTTAAAGTTTATGTAGTGCAGTAATGTACTGTATGTGCCATCAATAGATTGAATTTTTAGTGGGCTGCTGGAGAGTTTCGAGTCATGTAACAATTTCTCTCCCATGACCATAGCATTTCTTTCAACAGTTTTATTGATTTTTAGGGTGTGGTTACACTTGCTATGTTTGGTTCAATTAAAACTAACTTTGGTGTGATTGCTCTGTGTGACGCTGTGCGGAGAAACAGAGCTGAGGCTGGATCCAAATGCAGTGTAGCTTTAATCAGAAACTTGAAACAGGAAACAAGACAAGAAGCAAGACTAGCAAGAATACAAAAACACCAACGTTCACATACATAAATTCAACAACCAACCAAGACAGGGCAGAAACACAGGGCTTAAATAATCAAACGAGCTAGACAAGATAACAAGGGGGCGTGAGAAATGAGAAACACCTGGGATAAATAATAGACGGGCAATAACTAATAACGAAAACACACACAATCACTTCGTGACATAGCCTCCCCCCTATGGGCGGCTCCCGACGCCCATACAAACAAAAAAAAGTTCAGGAGGGCGGTGAAGCAGAGACAGTCTTGGGGGAGGGACGGAGGGCCAGGCCCGTGCAGGGGAACAGGACCAGGAGGTAGCCAAGGCGGGCCTGGGCCGCAGAGCATGGGCATACCAGACTGGGCCGGAGACCAAGGCGGAGCAGGACGAGGCGGAGGCCAGGGCGGAGCAGGACGAGGCAGAGGCCAGGGCGGAGCAGGACGTGGCAGAGGCCAGGGCGGAGCAGGACGTGGCAGAGGCCAGAGCGGAGCAGGACGAGGCAGAGGCCAGGGCGGAGCAGGACGAGGCAGAGGCCAGGGCGGAGCAGGACGAGGCAGAGTAGACTCAAACAGAGACGAGGGCGGAGCAGACACAGGCAAGGTCCATGACAGCCTCGCCTCCATGGCCCTCACAGACTCAGAGGTCCATGTCAGGATCACCTCCATGGCCCCCACAGAGTACCTACTGCCCCCCCCCCCCAAAAATACTTGGGAAAATTCACGGGAGGAGCCTCTGGGTGGTGAACGGGTACAGGAAAGGCCTCCCGGAGCTTGAAGGGTGCAGGCAGAGCGAGGCGCAGAGGCGGGGCCGGCAGGGCGAGGCGCAGAGGCGGGGCCGGCAGAGCGAGGCACAGAGGCGGGGCCGGCAGAGCGAGGCGCAGAGGCGGGGCCGGTAGAGCGAGGCGCAGAGGCGGGCCGGCAGAGCGAGGCGCAGAGGCGGGGCCGGCAGAGCGAGGAGTCTGGGCACGCTCACCGGGGCCTGGCGAACCAAACGAGTCCTCCTTCTCCTCCTCTGCGGCGGCGCGTCACAGGGCTAGACACACTCGCTGGGCTGGACAACTCACTCACTTGAACTGGAGATGCAGCGCTCACTTGAAGAGGAGATGCAGCGCTCACTTGAAGAGGAGATGCAGCGCTCACTTGAAGAGGAGATTCAGCGCTCACTTGAAGAGGAGATTCAGCGCTCACTTGAAGAGGAGATTCAGCGCTCACTTGAAGAGGAGATTCAGCGCTCACTTGAAGAGGAGATTCAGCGCTCACTTGAAGAGGAGATTCAGCGCTCACTTGAAGAGGAGATTCAGCGCTCACTTGAAGAGGAGATTCAGCGCTCACTTGAAGAGGAGATTCAGCGCTCACTTGAAGAGGAGATTCAGCGCTCACTTGAAGAGGAGATTCAGCTCTCACTTGAACTGAAGATTCACTCACTTGAACAGGAGACTCGCTCACTTGAACTGAAGATTCGGCACTCACTTGAACTGAAGACTCACTCACTTCAACAGGAGACTCGCTCACTTGAACTGAAGATTCACTCACTTCACCAGGAGACTCGCCCACTTGAACTGAAGATTCACTCACTTGAACAGGAGACTCGCTCACTTGAACTGAAGATTCGGCACTCACTTGAACTGAAGACTCAGCCCTCACTTGAACTGGAGATTCATCCACTTGAACAGGCGATTCCCTCGCGGGGCTCACGTGAATCGCGAGTTCGGCAGGGCTGACGTGAAGCGCGGGCTCGGCTGGGCTGACGTGAGTCGCGGGCTCGTCAATGCGCACCTGAAGCGCGGGCTTGTCGTGACTGACGTGAACCAGCGGTGAAGACGACGAGGGCTTCGCGGGTAAAGTACACTCGGCAGGTGTCGAGTAGAATAAGCGGGCAGTAGTGAAGAGGTCCTGCAAGGAACAAGCCCGAGCGACATACCCGTCAAGAGTCCAGTTGGCAAGGTCCCGCGGCATCCATCGAGCGATCTCATAATCCAGCCCATTCAGAAACAGGACCATGAGCTGGATATCATCTAGCGCTCCCACACTGCAAATGGACAGGAACTCCTTCGCGTACCTTTGGACAGACCGGCCCTCTTGCAAGACTGACGACAGGTATTCTGTCATAGCCCGGTTGCTGACGACTGCTGGACCCATATTGAGGTTGGTTGTTCTGTGACGCTATGTGGAGAAACAGAGCTGAGGCTGGATCCAAATGCAGTGTAGCTTTAATCAGAAACTTGAAACAGGAAACAAGACAAGAAGCAAGACTAGCAAGAATACAAAAACACCAACGTTCACATACATAAATTCAACAACCAACCAAGACAGGGCAGAAACACAGGGCTTAAATAATCAAACGAGCTAGACAAGATAACAAGGGGGCGTGAGAAATGAGAAACACCTGGGATAAATAATAGACGGGCAATAATAACGAAAACACACACAATCACTTCGTGACACTCTGTTAGTCTGGCTCATTTTAATAAGTGTGAATGCAGCCATCCGAACCCTGGTGCGCACACCAAAGAAGTGGACCGAGACCACTGAAAAGATGGGTTTCGATTGAAATATGAATGCAAAGACATGTAAACAAACCAAAAACATGACATGGTGTCACAACAAGTGACCCGAAAATGACACAATGCTCATGAATACATCACAGTTCGGTACAGGCATCAGAACCGCATCTCCTTGCAGCAGATCTTTATTTGTGTGTGTGACAGAGAGAATCCTGCCACTGTTTTGGCTCCTTAACACATTTTATGAGCTCTTCAGGAGTTGTCAGTTCCATCATACACAGTTGTGGTTAGAATTATTGGAACCCCTGGTAAATTCTAGGGGTGCCAATAATTGTGGCCAAGTCAAGGTGTTTTGGAGGAAAAAAAAAATCATTTAATTTTTCATAATGTGATTTCACCCCCACTTTTAATTATTTTACTACAATGATGGGTAACACTTTAGAATACTTGGTAACACTTTATTTTGATGGTCCCTTTTGAACATTCTGTTGACTATAAGTAACTTTTCAACTACATGTCAACTAACTCTCATTAGAGTATTAGTAGACTGTCAGCTTAATATTTGCCAAATCTTTATTGTGATGCTCCTCCAACAGACAATCTACTGACTATAAGTAACTTTGCAACTACATGCCAACTTATTCTAACCCTAACCCTACCAGTCTACTAATACTCTACTAACACTCTAGTGAGAGTTAGTAGAGATGAAGGTACAACGTTACTTATAGTAAACTGAATGTGTTAAAGGGACCATCCAAATAAAGTGAAACCGAATACGGTTCCTTCGTTAATGAATAACTACACAAGAACTAATGAGTAACACAATATTAACAATCTAGTAACTATTATTAACTAACAAGAAACTCTGATTAACGAACTAGTAAGTAATAGCGCACAGACGAAAGTGGTAGTTCACTATTAAGTAATCAATAACTACTATTTTTTTAATACTTCCCAGAGAACTACTGAAAAAGTTTATTAACAATCTAGTAACTACTATTAACTAAAATAATTCTTATTAACGAATTAGTAAGTAATAGCTCACAGATGAAAGTGTTACTAGATACTTCTGTGGGAGTTACTAATTATTTGGATTCATATTATAAAGTGAAGATCATTGGAACTAACTAGTAATTACTCAAGTGTTACTAAAGACATTTTTTAAAAGTATACTAAAGTTCACCAAAAATCTCAAACGGTTGCACAAATCATGTAGTAACACTTGAGTAATTACTAGTTAGTTCCAATGATCTTCACTTTATAATACGGATCCAAATAATTAGTAATTCCCACAGAAGTATCTATTAACACTTTCAAAAAGTGAAGATCATTGGAACTAACTAGTAATTACTCAAGTGTTACTACATGATCTAGTCATGATTTGTGCAACCGTTTGAGATTTTTGGTGAACTTTAGTATACTTTTAGAAAATGTCTTTAGTAACACTTGAGTAATTAGTTAGTTCCAATGATCTTCACTTTATAATACGGATCCAAATAATTAGTAATTCCCACAGAAGTATCTAGTAACACTTTCATCTGTGAGCTATTACTTACTAATTCGTTAATAAGAATTTATTTTAGTTAATAGTAGTTACTAGATTCTTAATAAACTTTTTCAGTAGTTCTCTGGGAAGTATTAAAAAAAATAGTAGTTATTGATTACTTAATAGTGAACTACCACTTTCGTCTGTGCGCTATTACTTACTAGTTCGTTAATCAGAGTTTCTTGTTAGTTAATAATAGTTACTAGATTGTTAATATTGTGTTACTCATTAGTTCTTGTGTAGTTATTCATTAACGAAGGAACCGTATTCTAAAGTGTTACCCAATGATGTTTTTGCGAATATCCTTTTATCTTTTCTTGTTTTTTTGCGAAGGGATAAAAATCCAGGTTTATTTTTATAGCCATCTTTGATCATATTTACCTGGGGTACCTATAATTCCGACCAAAACTGTCCTATTATATGTACACACATACAACGAGCGCATTTAGCCCAGCACACAGCATTGTTTTGGATGTTCCTGTCGCAAAATGCATGTCTTTTTATTTTACTTTATGTTCGGTGACAGTGTGAATGCTAAGCAAACTAGGGCTACATGTGTTATTTTCTTTTTTTGGTCAAGAACAGAAGAACAAAGAGAACCAAACAACAAGTGTGAACACACCATTAAAGGCATCAAGAGGTTATAAAAAAGTTGTGGTGTTGCTGTGTCTAAGTTGCTACTTTGGCTCTCTGTTGATTTCCTAGAGAAGTGGGATCAGTTTGTGACAGATGTACTGAAGTTGGGGTGCTCCTTCAATATGCCTCGAACTCATCCTCTCCCAGACCCTGCGCCCCCTCTGGCCACTGGAGCCCCCGTGAAGCCGAAGGTAAGACTCAGTAACTCTACTGAATCTTTAGACTCAGGGCTCTGATACAGTCCGACCATTTTGCTCGCATACGCCCCTAAAAATCGATACGTACGAATAAATGTGCTTACAAAGTGCAAGTAACTACAACCTACCATAATCGAAAACGAGACGATAATTAAATAAAAACTAGTTTTGAATGACAAAAGCTATGACGAAAATCTATTGAAAATTTTCGTCAACGAATAAAAACTAGACAAAAAAAAATGTTAGATACTGACGATTTGGGAAGCGATCCAGTCAGAACTTGTGTCCTACGTTAGATGCGCACATTTGTACTGTAACGTGCTGATCTACCCAGCGGCACACGGGTTGACATGCACTGCATCTCATAAAACGTTAAAAAAATGTAAACGTCTGGGAGACCCAAACCGTGCAGCCGAGCACATAGACACACAGCGCGCGAGGACTGAACTGAGCTCTCTTTCATGTCTGAATGGACTAAATACACTATTAAATACAACATTATGTTGAAATGTGCGTTTTGGAGAGTTTTCAGGTAAACTATGTTGGTTATGTCTTAAACAGTTTAATGTATTGGATGTACATCAGTGCAATTTGATCCGCATGTCATTGGACATGATCAGATGATCATGATCCGTGGGTAATAAACTTAATGCAGTCTGTCATCAAGCAACAAAAGAAAAAGATAATAACATTCACTGCTCGTTAATAGCTATAATAAGGATTCATTATATTTAATTCATACAAATAAATATGTCTACTGCTTAAAAGAATAAAGAATGATTTATGCAAGTTGTTGTATCATTCATACATGCAAGAATGCATGCATCATTCATTTAAAATAAAGCTACTTTAGTAAAAGTTGTTTTATTTAATACATTTAAAGACATTAATCGCAGTATAGTTAAATCTGTATCTACATGTATATTGCTTGTTCAAACTTTAAAATCTTTCATATTAACTGTTTAATAGATGTTTTCTCCAGGAGTATTAATGGGTTTGGAAATTTTAGAGAAATTCTAAATTAATGCACTACAGTTGAACTAAAACCATTATATTTTAGTCATCTGAAATGTTTTAGTTTTAGTTGACAAAATACAATAAGAGTTTAGTTGACTAAATCTATAGTAGATACTAATACTATACTAATACATTCATTTGAACTAGTTTCTCCTTCATGTTGTGGAAAGAGCCTCCACTGCAGATGTCCACTGCACAGGTGTGTCAATGTGCTCCTAGCCTCCTCCTGAGAGCAACACGTTCCCCTTGTTCTGTTTTATGAAGTGATTTTAAAGTGTGATTTATACTTCTGCATCAAATCGACGGCTTCACACCATAGTTGAACAAAGAGAAGGAGCACACGCGTAGTGTATATATGTAATAAATTGTTTGTTAAACTTTCACTGCGCTCCAAAATGTATTTGTGTGCTCCTACATTTTTTTCTTTTAGGAGCACATGTGCTCCTTGGGAAAAACCTTAGCGTAGAACCCTTAGACTAAAATATTATCCAAAAGCCTTACAACAGATGCCTTCTTGGTTTGACTGATATGCATTTTGAAATAAGACTTTTTAAAAGCAGAAACCTTACAAAAAACTTCTTGACCAGTCCAGGAAGATAAAAGGTAATAATAGGATTTTAGTGGTTAAATTTAATATGACATTATGCCATTCACATTGCATATGTTGAGACTTACAGACAATTTAATGGATTTGTTAGTGGCCTACTTGAATTATTTTAGGATGATTCCTGTTTGGATTTCAGCTGACTACTTTGGCAAAATGAAAGGAACCTGTTTCTATTGACACTTGGAAATTGTGTTTAATTGGTGAGTGCCGTTCAGAGCCATTAATACTGCAGTTTTATTGAGTGGCATACATGATTAAAGCATTGCACCCAATGCATAATGCCAAGTGAGGCCAATATTGGATGGAACAGCAAAGTAATCTATGAGGAGAAGAACTAAAAAGTGTGGAAAAAATTAGTCATAGGGGTTGTCATAAATTTTGATTTTCTCATGTGTTTATTTTAAGGCTAGAAAAATGTGGACATATGGAAGAATTGGTCCATAGAGCTTTGTGCACATAAATGAATGTTTTTTTACCACAGGGAATGAGTCATGTTTTCCTGTGCTGTATCAATGATCTTGCCCTCGTAGTTCAACCTTTGATCCGGTATCACATAACGAAGCCAAACTGCCATATTCAGTCTATTATTATCGGAATTCTGAGGATTCTTTTTTTCTTTGGTTGTTATTTTATTATAAGTATGAAATATCTGTATAACTTACCTAAGCAATCAGGAAAAGCTCTAGGGCCTAACAGCCATGACATATGCCCACTATTTTAGTGGAAACCGCAAAAGCTCTTGAAAAAGTGAATTGGTCTTGACATTGAAATGTTGAAAACAACTTCAGAGACCTACATTCCAGAGGGTGGCTGTTTTTCTGTTTAATTGCTTAATCACTTTATTTAGGTTGCTTTTAAAAATGGGTGAGTCAGACTTGTGGCGTGTACGGCCATAAGTGCATGCTTGTATACCTCAAAGCCAAGTTGGCCTAGTAGTGGCTACACACAGTCAGCTGAGAAGGCATGCCCAGGCTTGCCATGGCCACATCGCTTTAACTATGCTTTGCACTTGGATGGATTCCCTGATGTACTCTATTGCCCTTGCCATCCTTCCACTGTTTACAATCGGATAAAAAACCTGACTTTGACGTCCTGCAGCTGGCTCGAACCTCTGCCCATATACCACCCTCAGAAAATCACTTGCCTGCATTACACACCTCATCTAATCCATGCCCCCTGTCCTCAATCATCTAGGTTAAAAAAGCCATTTTCCTCTGTTCAAGTGTCCTTAGTTGACTTTCTGGAAACAACCATTATGGCAGGGTTGCCCTTATTGTGTTGCTTGAATTCAAGAAAAGAACAACATTGGCACAATAAATAGATGGATGAGTGCTGTGCTAAGTCAGCTCGATTTGCTACGTAAATTACTCTGTGGTTTCTAGTGCTCATGAGAAGGCTCATGAGTTGACTGAAAACATGAAGAAGACGAGAATGAAAGTGAGGCACAAAACCAAGGAATGCTAGGAATTACTTGTTTCTCTTTCCCACTCTTCCCTCAATGCTTCATTTGTCTCCATTGCTAAGATACTGATTATGTCAGTAAGCTTTAATGATCGGCAAATTTTTCCAGTATGTCTAATATCAATAATCTTCAAGTGGATTTTTTTTTTTTTTTTTCAGATGATGCAAATGTTTGGTTTGCTTGATGTGAGTTAATGCAAGGCTTGTGCTTATAACTTATTGGTTTGTTTTGGAAAGTCTAGTTCTGCTTGATGGCTTGCACTATTTCTAGCTTTGTCCTTTATCCCATTTCCATCTAATATTTCTTCTAATATTCCCTTGATCAGCAGCTGAGGTACATGGGGGACCTATGTGGGAGACATTTTGCAAAAATGTGTGCATTTGATACCATGAAAATGCATCTAGTTTCAGAACATTCCAGTTTGTTTTGGCCATCTAACTGAGCAACAAATATTCACCTTAGAAAAATGGGGATATCAGAGTCAGACGTGTGAGGGAGGTTACTTAGATGCTTGGCCGAGGTCAACCAAATAAACATTTACAAAACTTTTGCCCAACTATTTTTCCATTTGTCATGTAACTTGTAGTCAGACTACAAATGTTGCTTGACTGATGTCAACCAAAATAAACACTAAGGAAGCTTTTTCCTCTCCTTTTTTCCCATTCATCATGCAACCAGTAAAAATTCTAAAAGCAACATTGGCCCCAAAATGGGGCACATAATCCACTCTTAAAAATCTATAATTGTCATGAAATTAAATACAATTATTAAAATATCAACGTGAAATCAAAAAACAAGTAAAAAAATGGTTGTAGTTTTGTAATTTAATTGTGTTTTTATAAATTTTTCTAATCACAAGATGCACAATGATAAATATTACACAGAAACAGGGAATGGTTAAGCTGATTAACTTGTTATTTACTTAGTTATTTAGGTTTAGTTAATTAAACAATAAAAGTAAACTAATACAAATAAATAAATAATAAAAACTAGATGTGCTATTCAAATTTTGGGTAAAAAAGCATTTGGAAACTTTCTGGATGTGGTTATGTTATAGCCTTATGCTTTATATAACATGTGAACTTCAGAAGAACTAACTTCACTAAACTCCACTAAAATCAATGTAACACCAGTTGGTCAAAAAGGATCCGGAAAGTCTAACATAATTTTTGGTTTAGTATTTTCATTTCCAATGCAACAAAATACTTTTTGAGTTTATGTGCTGTTCGGATATTACACACTGCATAAAAGTTATTGAAAGTTACTAAAAGTTATTTTTTGCATCTTTTTAGTGGTGTTTAAAAAATCCATGGCTACATCTGAAAGCTTAAAAATGCTCCATTCAGATAATGCATAAAGGCACATCTGAATCCAATGTTAGCTAAATCCAATCTGAATCCAATGTTAACTTCCCGATATCTTCATCTGATAAATTTTTGAAAACAGCATGTATCCTCTGCCTTTGATATCCCACAACCCTGTGCATTCCATTCTGTGACAGTTGAGCTAGAAAAATAAAGTTGTGTTCTTTTTTTTACCAATGTTTTCCACTTTTGATGTCATTTCTAGCGAGTAAGTGCTATTGTAGTAATTAAAGCTGCAGTATACGTAGCTTTTTTGGGGGGTTAAAAATGATCCAAAATACATATTTGAGAAAATACATAACTAGCTAGTGTTCAAAACTATCTGCTTGCCCTAACTCGATTCAGACACGGCGCCAGACACAAATTCATGGATGGGCGATACATTTTTTCAGGGGGGAGGGCATGTTCTGAGATAAACCTAATTCCCTAATTGCATAATAACATTAAATGATATGACCGATTATGAATTGAATATGTATGATATACAATGATAATGACCGTAGTAGTGTGTTACATAATGTACTGACACTATTCAAATTCATAACTTACGTTGG